AGGAACCATTTCATTTTAACGTAATATTCCATAATCATATATTTTATTTCAAAAAATATCATATTTTGAAAATATTGGATATTGCAATGGATTTCGACTCTTTATTCCAATACACAGAATATAGAAACAAAAATAGGTTTATTTTTATTTGAAAACTATCCAAAAGGAAAATAAAATAAAAAATAATAGGTAAAATTTATATTATTGTTATTTTTAATTATTACTAGTTGTGAAGGTGCAGTCCTCTTCTTCTTAGGATTCAAAGCATGGCTCCTAAATAAAGAAAAAATCACATTCGTTAGAAGTACATAACATATTCTAAATTTGTTATGTGACATTTTAATTTAGAATCTCTTCATAATAATTGCATGCACTTGCACATATTCCAAATGATTTAAATCTTTTTTTAAATTAAATAATTAAATTGCAAACAAGATTCCTTTTGGTCCTTTCATGAAATCATAAATTGCATGTATCATCCATTTTTGAAGCAAAAACAGTACAAATTTAAATAATTCATTTTGCAGAAAATAATTTGAGGTTTATTAGATATTTACTATATTTATTTGTAATATAAAATAAATCTGTAAAGTAGTTTTAATAATGATCAGATTTTTTTTAAGATTAATTTCTCTAGAAATTGAAATGTATTAAGGTAGCACTTCTCAATCTGTGGATCATACAGCTTGCCCTCATGGTCCTCCGAAGTTTCCAAAGGAGACAAAAAAATTTAGTTGAAAAATCTCAGAGTTTAAAAAGTTACATATGACAATCATCTATCACCTTTTCTCGTACGTAAGATAGACATTTTATGAAATTTATTATTGGTTACCCTACTTACAGACTTCCCACTCAGTCTTAGCAGTAAAAGATGGATTTAAAGCACTATAACTGTGGTACTTACCACCATATATCCAAATATACTATCATATATCCACTAAGACTGTGGTCTTACCATCATATATCCAAATATAGAAGAGCCATGCAAGAATTACAAATCATCCTTCTCATTAATAATCTTGAAATATTAGAAATATAACTTTTCTTCAATGGACTTAATTATGAAATATAACGGATTTTAATTATATATTAAAATATAAGTGTACTAGTAGTAATATATGCTAAAAAATTGCTTTCGAAGGGAACAGCAGCAAGGTGATTCACAAATTATGATAATTCACATAATCTCTATTCGAAAAAAGTTTGAGAAACGCTGAAACAGGAGAATAATTAAATTATGGTTAATACTGGTAATTTCAGCCATATGCTTTAAGCTTGATGATCAACATTAAAAAATTCTCAGAAAGTGTTACGACCAAAAAAAAACTACTTTTCCACATAATATGAACTTATACGTAACAGCATTTAATACTTAGCTCACTGGCAAAATATACAAAATTTTGAAATGCAAGTATATATATATATAAGGCCAATAATATAGTTATCAACAATTAATGCATGAACTTCAATACTTACACAATTAACAAACACATGAACAATGATGTTACATGCATTCATCCTCTGAATTAACTAGTCAGTTTGGGTATTTTCTATCTTAGATGTCGCAAAAATTGATCGTGGATTTAATATTTTTAAATGTTCCTCTCATAGACATTTTAATACTTGTATTTTTTTACATAGAGTGTCATCTTTAGTTTTACAGATATTCATTTGTTCACTTATTACGATTAAGTTTTACAGACAGAACAGATGATACCTGATTACATTAAGTGGTATTTAAGACAAACTTACTTACTGGTACTTAACACAGTTGCTAGAAAAATATTACATAGTGAAAGACAGGGTACAAAGTCAGAATCTGAAAACTTATTGACTTACACTAAGCTATTTAATGCTTGAAATATTTATGATTAGATAATATCTTTTACATCATCAATATCTAACAGTGATATGATATACTTTAAGTATACAGTAAAACCACTCTATAACTTTTCCATAATTTTGTACAATTTTGATATTTAATGGAGGTGGTTACTTCACAAAGCATGATTCTCAGTGATAATTAATATCAATGTTTGTATCACCAGAATACTTGACATAATCACTTAAAGAGGTATAGTTGCTAAGGAAGGTTTTTCTATACTTCAAACAATGGTTTACATATTTTAAAAAGTATATTTTTCTGACACTGTTATTTAAAAAGTGTATAACTCCTTCTACTCTTAAGCATAAAAATTTGAAATTTTTTATCATTCATTTAGTTGTAACTTACAGGAAGATATCTTAAATGCCTAAAATGATTTAATTTATGAAAAACAGCAGTTAGAGTATATTGAAGGGTGCCCCCTTTATTATCAAGGGAGCGCAAGTTTGTGCAATTCTCTGATGTTTTTTTAAATGAAAATAGGTCGATGTGTACATGGATAAAGTCAAGGGAGTGCGGGATGCCAAGTTTGTACAATTCGCTGATTTTTTTAAAGTGAAAATAGGTCGATGTGTACATGGATACCGAGTATGTGCAATCTGTCTTCGTGTAGCGGCGGTTTTTGGCACACAAATCGTCGCTACACAAGCCAAAATAACATGGTCAAAGAATTGCACAAACTCGGTATCCATGTACTGCCAAAAATCGCCAAATTTTGCCAAGGGGCACCCATAAATATGCTTTTACCAAAACAAGCTTTAAGGCATACTGTCAATTACATTTTAAATTCCAGTGATTTTTCAACACTAGTTCAAATACTCTAAGCATATGTTTGCATAAGTTACATAACTTTTGCATCAGCAAAATTTATAACTTAGCAAATATGAACTATGAAAAAAAATATTTGAGCTTACCTTGACCCTTGGATTTACTAAATCTATGACACTTTTAACGCCAAAGAAATTCGATGACCGAAAAATACGCGATGATTTATTTAATCTGGTTTTAAAATGGGTCATTTTAAGTTTGGCTATATCAACAACATATTACTCAGTATTGTTGGATAGTGAATTTGTAATTCTTTTTCATTCTTGAAATATACACACATGACAGAATTGGAATAAAAATTTTAGGTTTTTCAGATGAACTCATAGATTGAACTAATTTGTTGAATTTTATCAAGTAGTTCTTAAAAATACAACCAACGATTAATTAAAACCAACTGCAATTCAAATGGATACTCTTTGTCAAAAAGGAGCAGTAGAACAGTTTCAAACATAATAAAGAGAACAACATTCATTCTAATGAGGATAATTTTGAAAATAATTCACATTAAAATATATCTGAAAGAGATTTTTAAATGAAAAGATGACACAAAATAATTATTTTCAAAAAATACATGTTATCTCAGATATAGAAGAAATTTGGCATTGAGCTGAGTATTGAAATTAATATATGCAACTGACGTATCATTACTAATATTTCCATGATTTGATATTGAATGCTATAACTATTAAATATTAGCAAATGCATTTTATAATGAACTTTGCACCAAAATTTATAGTAAATTTATATATGTAAATTTACATTGTAAGTACTAGAATGAATGTTGTACCATTTTATTAATATTTTACTTTTCAACAAGCATAAAGGAAAAAATAGAATTTTTTTTCTTTAATGTTCCTAGTATGTTACATCATAGTTAAAAATATGTCAAAGTCACGGCATTTCGATTGCCTTTTGTAAATGTTGGTTATAATGTAACTTAATAGATGCTTTATAAGTTGGTAAAAACTGTCCTGGATTAAAACTATCTTTAACACAAAAAATAATATACATTGAATACTTTTACAAATATGTAATTGCTATCCGACTATATAATCTTTTAAGGCGAACTTATCGCATGTATTAATGAAATGATATTCCATTTTTAATGTATGTTAAGTTATTTTGTCGAATTTTTTAAATATATTACATTTATTTTTTCTTTTTCGTTGAGATTAATAATAACATACATAGTGTAATAATGCTCTGAAAAATATTCTAAAGCAGTTCACGCTGGGATTAATGATAACATGTATGGAATAATAATGTTACATCTGTCAACAAAAAAATGAAAAATATGAATATTCTAACGCGATATGTTTTAAAAGATACATAAATATTTAACATGAGAAATTATTAGACTATAGATAGAACATTAATATTAAGCTTATTTGTTTTTAAACTAACATATTAACAAATTTGTTTCTGTTTATAAATATGAGCAGTTTAACTGCAGACACCTGCAGATGTAACGAATAAAAGTTGTTATTTTACTAAATGGAACACAAGCTCTGTGATTTGAACTCTAACAATAATTTAACACAGGTTTATTTAGGAGCATTAGAATTATAAGCTAAACATTAAAAGAATTTAATTATAGATAGTGTAAAGAACATAACAAATACATTACATAAAATTAGTAAAATACACGTCAAACACTATTTCGAACTTACCACGTCAAACACTATAGCAAAAATAATGGCTAACATGGCGACTATCGTTGAACTCTCCCGCTAAGACGCTGTTTTTCCACCTTCTTCCTGATTGGTTCTTCTCTCTCAGCCGTTTTAAGCCACGTGATCACACGCTACGGACAAAATCCAAGCAAAACTTCTTGAAAAACTCCTGTAGAGTTTACAGTTTCGTTTGGTTCTGTGTTCGTTACAGGTATTTCCTTCGTAATTGTTCGCATTTCTGTAACTATACAAGACTTTTGTCTGTAAACTTCGAGGTTTTTTTTTACAGTGTGAAAGCATTACACAATAAAATAAGAAATAAAAATGAGGTATTAATCTCCTCAGTTTAACGTTTCAAACAGAACTTATCAAAGGGAAATTGTTTTGAAGCCCCATTCCTTTAATATTTATTATTGCCATCTAATAAAATATAATCTTTGGGAAAAATGAAAATTGTCGACAACAATATTTTCAGCTATATCGAAGCAACTGCAAGTAAAGAAAATAAGTTAAATTAATTTTCAAACGTCAGTTTTTTTTGTTTTTTTTTTTTTGTTTGTTAAAACGATAATCATTTTCATCTTTTGTAATACTCACTAATCTGATAATTTTATTTCTTTACAGGTTATATTATCTGTATGGGATAGAGCTGAAAACTCATCAGTACTGGAGATTTTCTGCAACTCCTGTATCGCTTTTGACCACAGGCGAATAAGCTGATGAAAATCAGTAAGTATGTATTGAAAAAAATAGTTAATTCAGTGCAAAATATGCTTAATTGAATGAATAAATTATTTTTGAAACTCTTTAGTATTCCTCTATAAAATTCTCCATAATATTAAACTGAATGTTTAGTATTCTGCTCAGAGAAGCTTGCACAAATTTGATGTAAAATGACCAAACACTGAAATTTTCTTTCTTTTTGTCATTAACTGCCAATCCAGCAGCCGACCAACGTTGAAGACGCTAAACATTAGTAATTCGGTCGAGGGTTCGAACCTCGGCAAATGGGTTGACTGCGTGGGAGTTTTCGTAGTTTTCCCAATACGGATACGAGCGAGTTTTGCCTTAAAAAGGCGAAAGTAAACTAGCTGACTCTGCGCATCAACAGATACCAAAAGCGAATTTTTTTTTTGAACAATTAAGTGTTTAATTATTTTTTACTTATATTTGAAAGTCTTTGGCGAAAGTTTTTTTTCCCCCAAAAAACGTTATAAAGAAATTAAATAAGACCGAATCTGCATGAATTTATGTATGTTTCACGCATTATGAAAAACAACAATACCTAGAGCTATCGAATTTTGAATAACGTAGTTCTCCACCCGAATATGGGCACCTAGAAGTCTGACTTTGGAATTTGGAATTTTTTATTATTGATTTCATATTTTGTAAAGCATTTATGAGTTTTTGATCAACAAACTTGACGATTTCAAAGCGAGCTATTGCAACACTGTAGGAAAAAAAAAAAAAAAAAACATTTTTATCTCCAGCGCGCGAGACTGTGTATCGGAAATTCTAAAGATGTGCTCATTTTAAAATTATTTTGCGACATTGCTGTTGAACTGAATTTTATGCTTTAAGTGCGAAGAACATGGTATTTAATAAATAAAGGTAACACACAAAACATTAAAAAAAGGCCCCTATGGGGCTTAATATAAAATTTGAAAGCTTTCATATTTTTATTTTTTTTTTCATTTCCCCTCCCCCTTTTATTCTATTCCCCCCAAAAGGTGGGCAAAAGTAAATTTTTGCAGAACGTGATTGATTCTGAGTGCAAGATTGTTCCGTTTTATCATATTTATGTTATGAAATATTGATCGAATATTTTTTGTTTGTTTGTTTTTTTATCTTCTTGGAAAATAAAATTCGCTTATCCGTCTACTAAAAGATTTTGAATTCAAAATTATTTGTTCGTGTTACTTTAAATTCTAAATCTACCCTTCCTCATCGCTTCGCCATTCTTTAAACTTCTAAAACAAAGAGGAAAAACAATTATTCTTGATTCAAGTTAAAGATCTCTAAACGAATCCGTAAATTGTAGCGATGTGGACATAATGAGGTCTTTTTCATACAGAAGGCAACCGGCGCCGATGTGAACAACTGCATCCACGGCGAAATCCACTTCCACGCTCTCATTTGCTTTAGCGTAGATCCTTCTGGCTCCTCTGATACTCCGGCGCGCTGCCGTAGTAATCAATACATTAAAAGGCTTAGATAGTTACATGAGGCTCCCGTATTTTTTTAGTATTCTTAATATAATATTTTCCTGTATCGTTAAAGACATATTATAGGTGATAAGAATTTTTAAAAAATTAAATTAACTCCCTGATTATTGGCAGGGAAATTTATATACCTCGCCGAAAAAGACGTTCGTTTAATGTGAGAGAAATTCACGAAGACATAACACCAATTAGAAAAATCACGATAAACAACATTTCGAATATAGTGTGTATGTGTATGTGATTATGGCAAAGCCTCGAGGGCTATCTGCCTAAGGGGAGGAATGCCTTTGTAGAGGACTTTCTAAGAGAAACTGGGTCGTATACACGTTACACTTGGGGAAAACCTTGCATTGTGATAAAAGAACGGTACCTAGAGCCATCCAATAATGAATGACGTAATCCTACTGCGAAGATGGGCATCTGGAACCCCAAATTTGAAATTTGGAATTTGTTTTATCGACGATTTTATATTTTGTAAAACTTTAACGAATTTTTCATTAACAAACTCATCGATTTCAAGGCAACTAACGGCAACGCTGTACAGAAAAAAACATTTTCATCTGCAGCGCGCGAGACTGTGTATCGGAAATTCTAAATATATACTCAATTTAAAATTATTTTGCGATGTTGCTGTTGAACTATATTTTATGGTTAAAGTGCGAGGAACAGGATATTTAATAAATAAAAGTAACACGCAAAACGTTAAAAAAAGTTTGGACGTAATTCGAAATCTGAAACCTTTCAGATCTTTTTTTTTTTTTTAATTATTTTTAAAATTTATGTTATGCGTGCTTATTAAAAAATTAAATATTTTAAAATTTTTCCTGTATGTCTGAATGCTCGATTGTTTAATAACTATTGCGAGCATTATAACATGCCAGCTCAGGTTCCTATAACATCACAAAAAAGTGCATGACCTGTGACGTCACGTGTTATGTTTTGCTACTTTTCTATCCTTCTTTTGCTGTTTTAAATGAAAGCATTTCTGACAACACTGCTTTCACTAAAAAGGAGGTTTATTCTAGCCTCCCCCTTATATGATAGGAGGGGGTGCATTGCATACGTAATCGCTTTGTTCAGGGTTTTAGGATCATCATTCATAGGTACTTAACTCTGATTCTCTAAAGCGTGTTAGCTGAAGGTGGTTTCCACTGTTCTACAAGTGTGAACGAAACGTTTTCGTTTCACGGTTATTAATTTTTTGCGCACGATCCGTCCCTAGACCCTCTCCCGCGTTGGGATGCAGGACACTGCCTTGCTGACCTCCCATTTCGTCCCCGGGGATGATAATTGCTTCCTTCTCATCGTCTGCAGTGCGAGAACACAAAGCTTGGGACGCAAAGCGGGCAAAACTGCATCCCGGGAGGGAGGGGCGGAGTGTAGTCGAGAGCGAAAGGCTAAAACGCGACACAGCTCGTCGCGTATTTGGGACACCTCGACATTAATCGACGATTTGATTTCTAAGGGTGGAGCAGCGGTTCGAACGAAGAATGGAATACTGCCTCGTGAAGGTGAAGTGTTGGTGATAATGGGACCATTTATGGGGAAAGAAATCGGTTCCGACGTTCGGACTCGTCGTTAATTGAGCGAGCGAAAGAAAAATGGAAAGGGAGGATTTTATTTTATTTTTAAAGTAAACGCAGCTTTGCAGCCATTCCTAGGAAGAAACAAACAAAAGATTTTTTTTTTTTTTATCTATGAGTCATCTTTGCAAGAATTGCCTTCGAAAGACGAAATTGGGTAACGGTTTTCGTTCTAGAAAGGAAGGTAATGTCTGCTTGTGTGTACATCCGTTAGTATCATTGTTGCTGGCTATTTTTTACTTTGCTATAATTTATTAAAGTGTTTGTGTTAATGTCAGTTTGCGCAAAGAATTTAGTCTTTTAAATTTCTCAGTTAGTCTTTGTCAATTTGGCCATTCTGCATAGCCGAGCCGATAGCGTGGAGCTTGGGGCAATTGTCAGTTCAAAAATCAAATGCAATAAATTCGATATACAAGGAAAACAAAATTATTTTGATGAAGCATTCAAATCTGCCGGTGTAATTGTGCTATTTTAATTTTTTTTTAAAAAAGTTTATAAATTTATTTAAATCTGAAAGCTTTCAGATTTTATATTACACCCAAAGGGACGTTTTTATAACGTTTTGTGTGTTGCCGTTTATGACTAAATATCATGTTCTTCGCCCTTAAAACATAAAATTCAATTCAACAGCAATGTCGCAAAATATTTAAAACGAGCATATCTTTAGAATTTTCGATACGCAGTCTCACGCGCTGGAGATAAAAATTTTTTTGTTCCCCATGCAATGTAGCCATTGCTCGCTTTGAAATCGTTAAGTTTGTTAAACAAAAATTCATTAAAGTGTTACAAAATATGAAATAGATAATAAAAGAATTCCAAATTCCAAATTTGGGCTTCCAGATATCCATATTGGAGTGGAAGACTACGTTATTCAAAATTTGATCTTTCTAGGTACCGTTGTTTTTTCACCGTGCGAAAAACATACATATATTCACGCAGATTACAATACAAAATATAACGTTGCCACTGTAAATATAATTATTTGTTAAATAAAAAAATATTACAATGTGTATATACATGTGTTTCTCTCTCTCTCTCTCTGTGTGGTGTAAGATAAAGAATATGTAAGAGTAATAACAAACTTTTAACTAACAGCGATTCTTAAGTCTCAGTTTTAATTTGATTCTTTCTATCCTAAAAATAGTAAGAGGATTATAATAAATCTCTCTTAATTGGGCCATTTCAAAATTAGTCCTCTATGTTTCTATGCAATTCTTACATAACGCTCAGAACTTAATTTACTTACTTAACGCAAAAAGACTTTTAACCATTAATAAAATTAAAACTTTCAAACCAAATCTTAATTAACCAACAGGAAGGAAGTTAAACCATAAGTGTGTTATTTTTTACCTAATCTCCAATTCGTAATCCACCCATTCTTCTCTGGCTTGCTCTTTGCAAATACGCAATTAGTTCTTTATATTTCTTACTTCAAATATATTATAAAAATGTGAAAAGTACAAATGTAGTTGTTCAAGAACATACGCGCCTATCGCACCAATTTAGTTGTGTTTGTCAAGAATGTTTTTTTTTTTTTAAATAAAGAAAAAATGGACAGGGTATATACGCCAGCTACATCACTATCATTCACCACAAAATTTAATACACACAAATGTGCGTGTATATATATGTAATAGTAAAACATTTTTACTTTTACGAAATAAAGGAAGTATTGCAATCGCGAAAAATTTCGAGTATCATATTCAACGAAAATATCCCTTCTGACCGCTCTCGAATCCATTTTAACGATGCTTTTGGGTGACACCTGTATTTATGGACAGAATAAAGGACTCTTTTTTTCCCAAAACGGATTGCAAAATTTAAAATGGACTCAGAATGTCTTTTTTCGTGATGTCTTGTACGTATGTATGTATCTCGCATAACTCAAAAACGAGTAGCCTCAAAACGTTGAAATTTTGTATAT